GTCAAGGACGAAATCATCCACGAACTGGACGAGTCGGCAAAGAGTCCAGGGCCACGCCCATCGAGCCCTCAACAGGATGTCTTTGCTCTGAATGTCAAGGAGGAAGTCATCCACGAACTGGACGAGTCAGCAAAGAGTCCAGGGCCACGCCCATCGAGCCCTCTACAGGATGTCTTTGCTCTGAATGTCAAGGAGGAAGTCATCCACGAACTGGACGAGTCAGCAATGAGTCCATGGCCACGCCCGCCGAGCCTTCTACAGGATGTCGTTGAAACAAATGCTGGGGACGAAATTGCCACCATTCAGGGCAAGCCCCAAGTGAGTCCTTGGCAAAAGTCAGTGAGCCCTGTACAGAATTCCACTGCTGTGAGCATTGCAGATGAGATTGGTAGCGAACAGGACGAGGCACAAATGAGTCTCTGGCAAAAGGCATTGAACCGTGGACAGACTGTTGCAAAGGTTGAGGACCAAAATGTGCTGTACAACACCTCACCGGAATCGACAAGATCGCCACAATCAAGTCCCGAGCGAGGGTCACCCAGTCCAGAGGTGGATTTTATTGCTACGAACACGAGTGATGAAAGCGCCGACGAACAGGACAAGCCACTTCTTTGGCAACAAACGCAGAAACTTGCTGAAGCGACAGCCAGGAGGGTTGATGATGAACTTGCTGAAACGTTACAGAACAGTTTACAGCAAACGTCTTCAGCCGAAGATATTGGGGATGGAACCTCTAATATGCCCGAGGAAGAGACGGAGGCGGCGATACTAGGTTTGAGTTCTGTGAAGACGAGTCTTGGGGAGTGGGGGCCTGTGGCGTCGAGTCCTGTGGAGACATCTCCTGTACAGTCGCCTGTACAGTCGCCTGTGCAGTCGCCTGTGCAGTCGCCTGTGGAGTCGCCAGTGGAGGATTTTTGTGGCAGTCCGACGTCTTCTGTGGAGAGCTCCGGGTCGGACGACTCGCCTAAGTTCTGGATGCCGGAGTGCTGGAGTAGGTTGTCGGAGATGTTGAAGGCGCAGCGGCGAGTGGCGTCACGGTTCCTGAGTGGGATCCTTAACACGGACGAGGCGTTGGAGATGTTAGACGAGAGTGGTGAGGGTTGTGGCCCATTGTTGCCGACGCCATTGAGGAACGACCACGGGAATTGTTCGCACTTGAATGCGGTGGTGCAAGCATTGCGTCCATTGGTGTTCCAATGTTGGGAACCGACAAAGTGGCACCCAAAGTTGCGGACAAATACACCCGAGTTTACGTTGTACCAGACATTATCAGCTGATTGGGACAGTGACAGGGCGATGCTTTCATTGATGGGTAAGATTGCGATGCCGGACATTGCTCAACATGACCAAGGTACTTTTCCGCGGATCCACCCCGCCATGGGGAACCCTGCGACCACGCCGACAGATGTGATCGACTGGATTCGCGGCCGATTACCAATCATGTCTTTCCTGGACTTCGAGCTGTACGAAGACGCTTTCAACTGGAACACGCCTACTAGTGTTTGCGATGTACTCGATCCGAGAGTCAGTCTCCAACGACTCGCAGAAGAAGTACTCGACGACGACGATAAAGAACTCACCCTCGAAAATCTCAACGCGGTTCTCGCACCCACACTCTACTACGTAGATCACCGCGGGGCTGTCCGACGGCGCGCCAAGACAGACGAGAATCCGCCACGGAAATCTGCGGGGGCGGAGACGCACCGGGATGCGGAGACGCACCGGGATGCGGAGACGCACCGGAATGCGGAGACGCACCGGAATGCGGAGACGCACCGGGATGCGGAGACGCACCGGGATGCGGAGACGCACCGGGATGCGGAGACGCACCGGGATGCGGAGACGCACCGGGATGCGGAGACAGACCGGGATGCAGAGACAGACCGGGATGCGGAGTGGCGTCCGGGACCGGAGACGCGGCCGGATTCGGAGACCAGGTTGGACGAGGCGACGCCGAATGTGGTGCTGAATCTGATCGAGCTCTACTACGAACACGTCCGCTCTGGCGACTACCACCGCTGCAACTGGACCGCGCAGCTGCTAGACAAGTACTGCCGTATGCGCATGGAGGGAAACACCGTTACCGTACACCCCGTCATTCACCTCGCACACTTCTCCGCCACCCTTGAATCCATGATCGTACGCACCACCAACTCCGAAGGCAAACCCCACTACTTTACCATCCGCCTCTGCGGCGGTGAGTACATCGTCATCGACGACGACAAGCCCATCACCACTCGCCGCGGTTTCATCCTCAAAGGCAACGAAATACCCGAGGCTGTCTTCTACGCACCCTTTGATCCAAGTCTTGAACCGGAAGACGTCTCGCCCGAAGAGGAAGAAGACGCAGCTCGAGCGGCGGAGTACCGCGCCTTTGAAGCCGCCTTGCGGGCCGAAGAAGAGTCCGGAGGTTCCGATGGCTACCCCAGCTTCTAAGCACGGCTGGCCTTTCAACAAGGCCGGCTGGTGAATCGTGCGTACGTTCTTGACATGATTGGCTTCTTGGCAAGACTGGCTTTTGAACAAGGCTTCCCAAACAGAGCTGCGGTAGCAGCACAGGGCTTACGCTGTGATCTGATTACAGCTGCGACGGGGTCACCCGCGCTCCTATAGAGGTACTCGAACAGGGCCTCAGGGCTACCAGAACGGGAACAGGTTATCAGGGCTACCAGAACAAACCTTTAGAGCTTCGCTTTTCATTCTTTCTACACACCAACTTGACGAAACGATAGTCACTCACATTCCCACGCCTGGCAAGCCGGTTATGGACCACCACGAAATACCCACACGACACAGCGCTGCGGGATACGAGTGTGTAAGGGATCCCTCCACGTAGTGGATCCACAAGCGGTAACATTGGGCAATAGGGGTTATTGATAGGGTCGGTCATTGAGGGGTCGGACGTTGGATCGATCCGTCGCCGTTACAGTTCCACAAGCAGGAAGTTACTCCTCTTTGGTCAAACCATTTCGTGCAAGCCGGATCTCGGGGTCGTGTGCGCGCGAACAAACAAGTGTTCCCCCTGAGTGCGGAGAATAGGCTTGCCCTTCCAGGTTGAACGGCGTACGACTTGGTACTGACGTTCTTTCAAGGGCACCGCTGAATGTTTCCCAGGATCAACGCACCCCCAACAGGCGGAATGCCCGAAGAGGCGGAATGCCCGAAGAGGCGGAATGCCCGAAGAGGCGGAATGCCCGAAGAGGCGGAATGGCCGGATCAACGGAATGCCCCGGTGACGGAACCTCCCCGTTATAACTCCCTCGTTATACCATCAGGTAATAACTCCCCATAACCCTCCCCCCATAACCTCCACGTTATAACCCTCCCCTTGTAACCCAAAGCTGAGGCTGGTTTAGACCCTTCTAGACTGGCGGTGAACGGAAGCCTTAGCCGGGGTGTTTTCTCCCGCTAATATTCGTTCACCTTGGATGAAGACGGTGAAAAGTGCACCGGTTGTATTCGGTCTTGGGCCGCGACTAGTCTCTTGTCGGTTTATCCCTGGGCTGGCAGGGACCTTTGTCGCCGAGAGCCAGGACATTGCCGGGGTCCGTCGTGTTACGGGCAACTGGCCGGTTGTAGAGGTCCGTTGTTTGTCGTCAGAGAGTTTGCTGCCAAACTGTTTGCCGGTGCGGAAACAGACGAGGATGAAGAATGCGAAGAAGATGTTTCGTGACTTGAGTAATCGAGGTCGGCGGTACGTGCTGGCTCATTTACAGCGTCGACGAACGAAGGGACTCAAGACAAGCTTTGCGTACCTCGAAAGGCTGGTGGGACGTGCGCGGCGAATGACTGACCAGGAAAAGTCCGTAGCTTGCGGCCGACCTTCCTTGTCGCTGCCTCCTTCCTGGCCAGGCGTAGGGTCCTTCAGTGGTGCTTCGGACCCTGCCTTCAATCTCGGCCTCGGAGGTTCCCAAATAGGACTCGGTACCAGTCGTGGACCGGGCTTCCGTCCTGATCCGGCTCTTACCCCCGGGATATCAGGCCTGCAGCCTGTAGACCTGTTGGCTTCGGACCCCAAGTCTTCGGACCCCAAGTCTTCGGACCCCAGGTCTTCGGACCCCAGGTGTTTAGACGTGCCGCCATCCAAGCCTCTTGAAAGTCTCATTTCGCTACTTGGCGCCAAGATGGATGTGAGCGATCCGGCCCCCGATATGCCGCCCTCCGCCACCGAGGAGGTGCCCACTCCAGTCAGTCTAGACTTGAGCCCACCCGCGGCCCGCGCCGGGTCGCCTCCACCGGCCGCGTCAAAAAAACCGGGGCCAATGGAGGTACCCGGCGCCGCAATGGAGGTGCCAGGTTCACTGATCAACACCAAAACCAAAGAACCTAAGCGGAAGATGATTTGGGTTTCCGCCCAACCGCATGTTCGGGATGTGCAAGTGTTCTGGGTGGGGCCGGTGGCGGGAGGCGCCAGGGACGTGGAATTGGCGAAGACACCAGCGCGACAGCCGGTGCTGGACGCGAGAGATGGGAAAAAGACCCGAGGTGGACAATTGGAAGTGGACCAATTGGGGCCAGTGCTGAGAAGCGCCAGGGACGTAGAATTCGTGAAGACACCAGCGCGACAGCCGGTGCTGGACGCGAGAGATGGGAAAAANCCCGAGGTGGACAATTGGAAGTGGACCATTGGGGCCA